AGTTAATTATGATATTATGATAATAAATTCCGTTGTGATGCTTTTGAATGATGTGTTGAATTATAAACAGACGTATGTGTTAAATTGTTGTAACCCGTGTTACGGAGCAGGATTGTTATTATGATGTTTTCTATGAAGTGTGACACCCTTGAGTGGTTGTTTTATTTAAATTATTTCATAAATTATATGAGAATTACATGTGGAGTTATAAGGGTGTTACAAACCCAGTTAAAGCCTTAAAGGATGCAGCTGACACAAGAGGTGCTCATGTGAAATTTAGTTTTTTAGAAAAGCTTTGTAAAGACCATCTATAGGGGGCCTTAGATGCCGAAGTTGATGATATGCAGGTTGAGTACCAATGAAAATCTTCATTGAGGTGTTACCTCTTGTTCCTGGTTGACACGTCCATGTTAGTGGAAAAAAGTGAAACATATGTCAATGTGGTCTACCTTAAGTACTTCATAAACTTGAAGGTAATTCATGAGTACACCTAGGAGGCCGTCTGTTTGGTATATCTGTACTCAAAGTTGTGCGAAGGTTGTCTATGAAAGACAAAACAAATAACAGGGAGTTATACGCTGCTTACGGTAATTTACTACTAATATTCTCACAATTCATTTGTTACACTTGTTTTTAATATTATACCTTAACCATTTTCAGAGATGGGTCATCTTCCACTTACCTCGTATCACCGGGTGAGAAGTTATGCATGTCTATGATGAGTATTGACTAAGTGTTGCCACATTTATCCAGTACACGGAAAATAACGTGGTTGAGCCATTTGGAGTTTATCTTGACCATCAGATACCAGATATCATTTTCTTCTGCCAATACGAGGGTCACTGCGAGACGCGTTAATTTGACGTCATTTCCTTATACTCGAAATGTATGATATGTGGGTCATCTCTTATGTATATTTATCTTCTCGAGCGAGTAATGTGACATTTTGGCTATTTGTAGATTATTCAGAGACCCCATATGAATCTTCTCCTCCCACCGTCCACCATAGAGATCTTAATGCGATACTGAATGATTTTGAGAGTCGTTTGGTACTCGAGGAGAATCGCAAGGTGCCAACTCCTTTTCAATTGGATGTATTTGACGACTACATGACATGGTTCTATAGGGTGTCACACTCTATCATGACACTAGACGCTCGCAGAATACCATATAGGTTAGCTAATCAAGAGGCACTTGAGGCTAGGGATGACCATACCGAGGATATATCAATGGTTTATTGGCATGTTTTGGAGATGGGTAGAACAGGAATAGAGACATGAATCTTTAAGGACGGAAGCCTATGGTTGGCCCTCGTAGAGAACATGATTTCCTAGTTACAGAATGACGTTCATTACAAGTGGGGGAAAAGGTAAGAGGTTAGATATACTCAGTAATTTATGTTTGGATATGTTTTTTCTATATTTCTGGACAAATATTATATATGGTCTTGAATTTTTGGATTTACTTTAATTAATGTATGACTTTTTACTTTCATTTCACTTTAATATAACTGAGTTTATTTTAATATAACTCTGCCTCAAAAATTAAAATGTTGGGGCAATGATGTTGCTATGAAATCATTCAGGGGACAATTCTGAGATACATCTTCAGATACACCAAAATATTATACAAAGATGCAACTCTAGACCATATTTTTTTCAAAATGGTATGGATCTCAGAGTAGCATATTTTGGTGTGATTTTGGATGCGTTCGGATATGCATCTCTGAATGCATGAAAGGCATTTTCGAATTTCCAAAGGTGTGGGATGCACATAAGAGTGGAAAGAGCATCCATTTTGTAAAGAAAAATATTGGATCAAGATATCATTCCACTATATTCTATTGATTCCATCCCTTTCCATCAATTCAAAGAAACCTTTAGACCTATATATCATCATGGATTTACTAGTAGACAAGCTAGCAAAATTGACAATTTTTCAGCTAGGATTGTTCAATCTTTCTAATAAAATGAAAGTTGTTTAGTAAAAAGAAAATATTTTCACAATCTTAACTCATTTTATATTAATATAATTTAAAGCAAGATTCTATACCAACCACATTAGTAAATTAGTAACAAACCCGTGTATACACACGTGTTCTGGTATGGTATGCGCGATATCGTTGATTATTAATATATTTGTAAGAAAAGGAAATAGTTGGATGATATAAATCCATAGAAGAAATATAAAAATAAGGGTTAAATATGATTTTGGTCCCTATAAATATCTCAAATTTTACTTTTAGTCCGTATAAAAAAGTCATGTTTTAGTCCCTATAAAACTATTTATGCATGACGTTTTAGTTCTTCTACAAGGACTAAAACTATGTGCATAAATAATTTTCTAGGGACTAAAATGTGATTTTTTTATAGGGACTAAAAGTCAAATTTGGTAATTTTGTAGGGACCAAAAACATATTTAACCCTAAAAATAGTTAAATAAAAAAATGTTATTAATAAATGAAGTTTAGTCGAAAGCATAAATTAACAGATGTAGAAATTGAGTAACATGTTTTGATTAAATAATATTCCTGTTTTTGTGAAATACTTGTGTTCTTATTCGAAATTGATCATGTGTGCAACATTTTTTTAGGGAAGTCTCTAGATTCTGTTTGTGTTTCTCGACTGAAATTGAGATGTTTGATGCTCAGACAGGGTACATTTATGAATGTCACATCCAGAGTGCTGAAAGGAATAGTGAGGAGGAGAAGTTTATAGGAGATGGTTGGTACCAGTATGCGATTAAGAAAATGGTTAGGAGAGGTGACTGTTTGGGCTTTACCATCATGGTGCCTCCGGAAAAGCTTTACATGTCATTGTTGAACCGCTGAAGTTACACAAACCATTACAAAAATCAGTTTTATTACTACAATCTAAATGTTCACTTAAATGTTTGTAACTTATTTTCAACTTTCAAAGTCGTTGATGGTGTTATATTATTTTCGAAACCTTCATACACAAAAATGAAAATACCAGCTAAATGCTCAATGTTTCGGATGGTTCAAACTACAATAGATGAATCAAACATTGAAAGAAATCGAATGGAGCACAAAGGTAAAAACTTTACGATGAAAGTGCACAACAAATATAAAAGAACCAAATAGTTCACAAAAATTAATTTCAACCATTAAAATCGTTGATGGTAAAGCATAATATTGGAAACCTCACATCTATACCAAACATCTCACACATTCCAGAGATAAAAGAAAGAATAGTTCACCCAAAAAAGAAAACAGCAAAAACTGTTATGGAGGACAAATGTCCAAAGTTTCTAATGGTTCAAAGCTACAATATACAAAACAAACATTAAAAAGATATGGAACGAAGCACAAAGTTTAAAACTTTCTGATGGTAGTGAACAACAAAGAAAAATGAACCAAAAACCAGAAAACACACAACAAAAGTTTGAATGTAAAATAACAAAATATGGTCAAAACGAAAACAGAGTATAGAATTTCACATATTTGTCTATAACAATAAGTTCGAAATGCTCCTTCGTGTTAGAAGTCACCTTCCATTTGTGGTGGACTTTGACAACAATCTTCCAAAGTTCCTTCCAGTGACTAATGTCTTTGACCATTTCGAAAGGTCTGGCCATGATAAGCAAAAGTAGGAGGAGATGGTGCAAAAGAGTGTTCAGCGCAAATGATGATATGGGTTGAGGAAGAAAGAAGACGTAAGGAATAAATAAAGGAGTAATGAAAAAAGGAAGAGGAACATGGAAGCAAATATTTTGGAAGTGATGGGAGAAGGAAGAGATAACTTCGAAAACTTGACTCATGCGACAAGAGGGGTTATTGACATGACAAATTGCAGGATGGTAAATAGTAGGCGACAATATGGGTTGATGTTGGACAACCTTAAAAAGTAAAATTGTTTAACCATAAGAACCAAAATCGATAAAGCAGTAGACAAATTTTAATATTTGATTTGTTTTGAAGCAGATAATACATAATCGTTGGAAATTAGAATAATTAGACTTAAAATACCCTTAATCAGTTGATGTGCAAAAGAAAACAAAATATTAAAGAATATTAATCAGAGACATTTGCTTTCTATATTATAGATAGTCATTAGTTAATTAGTACTTAAAAATATTTAAATTTTTAACAATGACTAACATTCTCTTAAAAAAAATATTAATAATCATTTTTATTTAAAATAATAATAATTTTAATTTTATTAGATAGATATTATTTTTTTATAAAAAATAGTTAAATATATTTTTGATCCCTATAAATATTTTAAAGTTTATTTTTAAACTTTATAAAAAAATATATTTTAGTCCTTACAAATTTTTTATACATATAATTTTAGTTCTCGCTATTTTCTAAAAATTTAAAAATTATTTATTTAACCTTAAAGTTTTAATTAATTTTTTTATATATGTTTAGAATAATATAAAATATTACTTTACTAAATCTTAAAATTTTTCAAAATGAAAATATTTAAATATAATTTTGTAAATTTCAAATATTATTAATAAAAGTGAAAACTCGATTTAAAAATTAAATTTTGAATTTTTTTTATAACATTTTAAATATATTTATAAAATAATCATTTAAAAATATATATTAGTTTAACATGAAGGGCTAAAATTACATGACCAAAACATAGACAAAAAATTTATAAAGATTAAAAATGAAATTTAATAATTTATAGAGAAAAAAAAAAACATATTTGAAAAACTAAATTACCACTTTATCATCAAATCACTACTTTATCAATATTGTGGGGACACAACTCAACTTTCAGCAAAAACACCAACGGCTCTATAGTGGCATTTTTGTTATTCCAAATCAATAGAATGGCACTTTATCAGAATAACAATCACTATTCACGACATCGTAAATTCTCTTCACTCAACCTTCCATCCCTTATATCAAATCATATGAATTTCCTGTTTTACCCTCGAAACTACACTCAATTTTCAAACCTTACCCCACTCTGAAAAAACAGTTCTTTCTTTCTTTCTTCTCTCTCGTTTCTTGTTAACCGCCCATGGACCTAACCATGGCGAAACACGGTTCCCTAAGAAACATCATCGTCCGCGTGTTTTCCTTCGCCGTCCTCATCTTCGCCGCACGGTTCGCCATCATCGTCACCGTCCGCGGCGGATCCTGCGACTCCTCCGATTTCTGTTTCTTCTCCGAAAATCAGAACCTCACCGCTCCCTCTCATCTTGCCGGAGATCCATTCTCCGGCAAGAATTGGCGCCGCTCAGTCGAATACTACGCCGCTAGCTTCCAGGATCTGATTGCTGAGGGTTTGCTATCGCCGAATTCTAAAGCTTTATGTATTGATACTCCAACCGGAGAAGATGTATTGGCGTTGAAGGAAATTGGCGTGGTTGATTCCGTCGGGATTTTCAAGAAACCGTCACCGCCGTTGATCGTTCATGGAGAAGGTCACCGGCATCCTTTCCCGGAAGACTCCTTCGATTTCGAGTTCTCCGGGAATGGTGGTTTAGAAGAATCTCATAAACAGGCGGAATTCGCCGTGGAAATCTCCCGCACTCTCCGACCAGGCGGATTCTTGGCTGTTCACATGGCGGCGAGAGACGCTTATAGCTTCAATTCGTTTCTTGAATTATTCAGTTACTGTGAGTTGATCAGAACAAGAGAGATCAACGGTCTTGATTCATCCACGATTCTCGAGATTCTGATGAAAAAGAAAACCCTAATTTCACCTCCGAATAGAAATTCAGTGAAAACTCTAATTTCACCTCCAAAAAGGTGTTCTATTCCAAGATACAAACGTGAAATAGTGAAAACTGCAGAAGCGTTGATAATTGAAGAGCCATTGAAACCATGGATTGCATTGAAAAGAAACTTGAAGAACATAAAGTACTTAACTTCATTGGTTGATATAAGTTTCAAGCAAAATTACGTGTATGTTGATATCGGAGCTAGAAGCTATGGATCAAGCATTGGAAGCTGGTTCAAAAAACAATACCCGAAACAGAATAGAACATTCGAAGTTTATGCGATTGAAGCTGATAAAACCTTTCATGAAGAGTATAGAGTAAGAAAAGGTGTGACTTTGCTACCATATGCCGCTTGGGTTAGGAATGAGACATTGTTCTTTGAAATTACAAGAGACCCGAGTAAGAAAGTTACGATGAATGGTAGAGGGATGGGGAGGATTAACCCGGTTCAAACGTCTTCGAGTCATATGGGTGATAAGAATAAGATTCAGGGGTTTGATTTTGCGGAGTGGTTAAAGAGTGTAGTTACGAGTAAGGATTTTGTGGTTGTGAAGATGGATGTTGAGGGAACTGAGTTTCATTTGATACCTAGGTTAATTCAAACCGGGGCAATTTGTTTGATTGATGAGCTTTTTCTTGAGTGTCATTATAATAGGTGGCAGAGATGTTGTCCTGGGCAGAGAAGTGCGAAGTTTCAGAAAACGTATTCGGAGTGTTTGGATTTGTTTACTTCACTCAGAAATATTGGAGTTCTTGTGCATCAATGGTGGTGATAATCCATAGTACAAACTTGTGTTGTGTGTATATTTTTTTCTGTATGTTTTTGTCACATTTTTTGTATAGGTTTTTATAAGATTAAATTGATTCTTTTGTAGATTCTGTTTTAGTCAACTGTTATTATCAATGCAAATGAAGAGTTTAATGATTCAAAGATTTTGTTTATCATTATTGGTTTCTGGTTTCTTCATCCAACTAGTAGCATTTTGTTGTTGCTGATGTTGTAGTAGCATTTCTGGTTTCTGGTTTCTTTATCATATTGCCTCTGTCTCAATGATTTTCTGATTTTTCTTGAGTTGCATGTTTACTGTTAGGTTAAAGATATTCTAATGAAATGTAACTGAACACAACATAGATAAGGACACAGCTTCAATCTAAAGGGCTGTACTTATATAACTTGTGTTACTGCTATATATGTGCTGGAGTTGGATTACAGCATTTTTCTAACATAAATTTTAGCATGTGTTCATCATCTTACCATATGTTTATGCTCTATAGTTTATATACAAAGAGTAACCAAACTAAAACTGTTACAAAGGTTATTGATAAGTGAGACTACATTAGGAAAGCTGCCATGCATTTAGATATTCTTTTTTAAAGTAAATTTTAACGGAATTTAATATTCATGTGAACAAGATTCCTAATGGGCTAAAGGATTTATTTAACTTGGTGTACAATAATACCCGAAACCCATGTAGTTTTCACTAATACGGTCAATTCAAAAATATTTTTCCGATGGAAATTGAAATTCAGACGCATTTTTATAAGAAAGACATTTCCATCCAAATAAAAAATGTATATGGAATTTAATCTTCGGATTATTCACTCGAACGATGTTGTATGTATGTTTTGCTTGTGTGTTAAACAAAAGAGTGAATATGGAGTTCAATATTCGAACTAATGTTTTAAAAAATGGGACCGATTATTAAATCAATGAGAGTATTAAATTATTGGTTTATTGGTCGAACTACAATGCGACTAGTCGAACTGTATGATTAAATTGGATTAAACTGAATAATTCGATTAAATAAATTGGTCTCTATAACAAAACTATATATTTACTAAATCGGTCGAATCGAATGATTCGGTCTTTTTAAAATATCACGACACTCATAATTTAAAATATCATAATTAATTTCGTATGTCCATTCTTTAAATTCAAACTAGTAAGAAACTCGTGCGAGAATTCAGATTACAAGTCTATTAGACCATCATTTATAAAATATGAATTAATTCTTCAATTGGTTGACATTCACATAGTAATAAATATAGGCTAATAATATGCACCAACTTTTAAGCATTGATTCATATTTATAATAAATTGTACAGTCGATTCTCTAATTTCAATTATATAAAACAACAACAAAAATAATATTTAAAAGATGAACATTAAAATAAACAATCTACCGCTGGTATCTCATGGATACGTTCACATCTACCTGTAGATATATGCCTGACAGGACCTTCATTACAATGAACAAACTACGGTTGTTAAATTGAGAAATAAAATGAGCAATAAAAAAATTATTAGATTAATATACTTGACCAAGTTAATCTTTTTTAATTCAATTTACTTTCAATACATTCCAATATATTTCAACTCATACATACATACTTATACAAACAAAACCTTACAAAATACTACCTCTGTTCCTTTTTATAAGAGACAACTCATTTTTTAGGTTCATTGAATAATCAATGTATCTGACCTATAAATCGACTAAATACATTGGTTATTCAATGAACCTAAAAAGTGATTTGTCTCTTATAAAAAGGAATGGAGGTAGTAGTTTATAACATCTTTCTATTCTAACCTAAAACTATAAATAATAGTAGACAATTTTACAAAACTCTTGATCAAAAAGAAGAATCAACACAAATTTCATCCTCAACCAAATCAAGACTTATCATCTTCACCACTTCATGCTTTTCACTCTCATTTTTCCAAACTCATTGCCCAATTAATTTTGGAATTCAAACCCAAGTCTGAAATTTTGTCCAAGTCATGGTTTACAATTGAAACACTATTGTCTCTCGCATCAGTCACCTTGCAAAATTTAAGTATTTTAATTCATCCAATGAAAATTTGAATTAAATCATTTTTTCAACTGCCCCAAACCCTATGATGTTTCCATAACCCATACATAGGCTACCATAATATTTCAAAATTCAAATATTAATCTTGGCCAAGCAAAAGGTTCAAGAACAATTTTCCCATAACCTGTAATTTTTTCCAGACCTAACTTCAGATCAAAGTAGAGTAATTAAATGTGTTAAAAGAAATTATTTTTGTATCGTGACTATAGTAGCAGTGTTTTTTAATGTATGCATTCAACATCTTTTGACTTTTCTGTAAGTACGAAGTGCGCCTAAGAGAAGGGGGGGAGGGTGAATTAGGTACTTTAAAAATTTTCTGGTTTTAGTGATGATGGATATTATTTTTCTGGTTTATGGTGAGTTTATGAAAGAGTAAAGTGCAGAAAAATAAAGAGACACAAGTGAGATATCCCGGTTCCCCTTACAGTCTGAGAGTACTCCAGTCCCCTTTCAACATGAAAGAGATTTCCTTATAGTTGATAAACTTAAACAAGAACTACCAAAACCAAGAACAGTCCTCTTGGACCAAGAACATTCCTCTTGGATTTTCACTATTTCAACAGTGAGAACAATCCTCTCAAGGTGACCTTACTTGTTTCCAGCAATCTTGAAAAACAAGAGTACAAAAACCACTAATCTTATTTTCAACAATCCTGAAAAATAAGAAAGTGTACATCAATATTTTGATTGAGTGAATTGTAAAGCAATAATCACTTTGAGTGATTTTATCAATAACTTGATCTTCTCTTCCAATAACAATGATATACAATGACTCGAGACTTAGATTGCTCAAAGTTTTCTGTTATACAAGATATGAAAATATGCAGAAAACTTTTTGAATGAAAGTGAAAAAGGCTTGAGTTGAATATTTGAAAATTCAGAAAAATATTGATTGGAAGAGTTTATTTTTTATTTTGAAATTTCAGTATTTATATGTTCATAGCACCCCTTTGAAACAACATAAGTTTCTGTAAATTAATCATGAACAATTTCCAAGATTAAATGAAAAGATTCCATGAAGTGGTATTATGAAAAGGTATGTTCAAAGTTGTTATTTTTCAAAAACGTTCAACAAGCAATCGATTTCACCCTTGATGCAAATCGATTGCACGGGTTCTAACAGCCAGAAAATTCAAATATTTTCAGTGAGCAATCGATTGCACAAATATGCAAATTGATTGCACTTTAAAATAGAAGTATTTTTAACCAGAGAGCAATCGAATGCACTCTTGTGTAAATCGATTGCACTAAGAAACAAAAGCAAAACAACTAAAAATGCGAGTCATGCAATCGATTGCACCAACACGTAAATCGATTGCACAGAAGTAAAACTGAATTTTTTGCTTAGAAAACTAGAGAAAACGTTTGGATAAGTTTTAAACACTTCTTTTGATCATTGAGCATCTAAGACTTAAGTTCATAGAAAGATTTGTTATTATACATTGTGAAATTTGCCAAGAGCTTGAATTAAAGACCTTTATCCATTAATGCTTTAGCTTGATCAATATCTTTGCCTTCTTACTCTTATGGTTTGTCTTCATCAAAATAAAGTTCATTGAGAAGCTTGATATTACATTTTCATCTTTTTTGAATCTTTTCATCTCCCTATGCATTGAGTAGAATGAGAAGAGTGACAATTGCCTTGAAAATGAAAAAGAACTTACATTTTGTTAATGTAATTCACTCCTTTTAATTTCATCCATTAAGTCTTTCTGCTTTTGGTAAACACGGTGAAACTCACGAATCTGAAGAGTAATGTACAATTTAGAGTCATACAAAACCAAAGAATTTGATGAGTATTCAAGAATAATGAAGAGCTACATTATCATACATAACAACAAACAACTATAAGCAAGGAACAAAGAAAATTTAATGAATTATGATAATTACTTCTTAAAGTTATTTTGATTGAACTTAACTTATCCCTTTGCTTATTTCTTCTCATTCATATTGTATTCACCTAAAATCAACTACCTCATGAAAGACTGTATTGATGACTTTTAACTATTCTTACAACCATCTCAATACATCTGAAGCACAAAGGCAAACACAAACACCAGACATGATACCTAAATCGGTAATAATTTTAAAAAAATGAAGAAATTAGATGTAATCACAAGTATCAGTGTCTTGTCGGTGCGGTCACAAACACACCTATTTTCAGAGGTATCGGTACTACATAGAATTTTACTCTTCAATAGCAAAGTAGAGTACAAAGGATTACGTAAATTACACTCCAAATCACACATTTTAATAATAAAATAATCTTAAATTTTATTGGCAGAAAAGAACAGACAAAAAAAGTCGAGGATCATCGAACCGAAGAATAGAAATCATCAAGTTAACATACATGGTCCTTAAATATGGCTTCATATTTGAGTATTGTTTGTTTCACAAGCTCTTGGTTGTAACACCCTTCTAAAACCCACATATATTTCGCATGCAATTTTACAAAAATAAAACAAATTAAAACCACAAAAGAGCGTCACATCTTCATCTAAGCACCATACCAAAGATAGTCCTGCACCGTTACACGGGTTTCAAAATTATTTAGGACAAATCCCTCATGAATAGAAATTAATAGACATATTCATACTTCTCGCAGCGGAATTTATAGTTCAAAAACATCTTATTATAATACTTCATAAAACTTTATCATACTTCATGATTCATAATCAGAATTCAAAACAACTCAAGTACCATGTGTTGCAACTGGTTTTTAAATCTGAGTCGCCACCCTTAATTTTTATCCTAAAGGAAGGGAGTATAAAGGAATAACCCTAAAAGTTAGATATTCTTTGGACTCGGTTCTAGACGAGGGAAATGTGTTAGGCACCCCTCATCTACCTTGTTCATAAGGATACTAGGATTAGAAGTGTAATGTTTAGGAAATAGGGTT